GCGTGACCAGATGAACTGGGTTCGAGTCCCGGTCTAGACTGCTCGAAGTATTTTTTTTTATTTTATTGTCCGTGACAGTAGCGTAAAATCACCGTATTTCGACAGTATATTGAGCGTACGGTGTCGGTCATAACATCGTAGATTCACTTGCGTTTGCACCTTATATATTCTGTTAATTCACAGTGAATATCGTTCACAACTGTATCCGATGCAGACTGACAACTCGCTCGGTAACAACGGACTTTATACGGTGAAACGACTGTGAAACGACCGTGAAACAACCGTCAATCGACTGTGCTTTCACCGTGTTGCCGAAACCGCCAGGGTTATTATAAAAATTGATTATAAGGAAAAAATTTATTGCTAAAATGAGTTATAAATTTGTTGGAGATGATAAATTCCACTCTGACAACTTCTTTTGCATCTAAGAATCCATATAAGTAAGGGAGTAAGGGGAAGTAATATTAATGATTAATACTTTTATTTATAATTCATAAATTATTTAATTTACACAAATAAATATTTAGGTAAGTAGACTCAGGTACGAGGTAAACTAATAACTAAAAAACACGCGTACACTGTAGATTGGAGGGAAATGACAAAATAGTGGCGCCACCGTCACGGTTGCTATGGTAACATAGAATTTAGTTTTAGTCCTGTTAAAAAACTTGGTATTCTCAGATTTAAAATACCAGTTTTCTTAAATCTAAAATATTTAACTTGACTTTTACTGCGTACAAGAAAACTCGACTAAAAAATATTCAGTATTCCGGGTATAAAAAAACTTTTTTTTCAGTGTCTACCCTTGATATTATGAAATAGAATTAGAGAACACTACTATTTACTAAAGATTAAACCGTAAATAGATAACTATATTGTTGTCATTTAAAATTTAGAGGTCATGCATGTTACATATTATTAGCGTAAGTTTAATTTTCTTATCAATTTCTAAGGAAGCCCTGATTGTTATAATAACACTAATTTTGTTATACAATTATACAATGAAGAAACAAGTTTGCGGTGTTTTTCTGAGGTAATGTAATATCACACTTAACGAGTAAACATATGATTAAAAGAAATGATTTAGATAACACAAATTGATTCTAACCAACTGATAAACTTTATCCTTATTTATTGCATTCAGTTAGTTTGTTTAACAAGTTTTGAAGTGTTGCTTGTGATTCCATATTTCTTTGTTTAAGCTCTATAAGCAGCTCCTCAAAGTAAGATGTCACTGGCTTTAGTAAATCGGTAAACATGAGATGATGCTGCTGAATTTCTCTTTCTTCAGTAAAATCAGCTTGCGAAATCGACGATGAGTCTATTTTATTCTTCTTCGTTGGACCTCGTTTACGTCGAGACATTTTGTTCATCGGTTTTTTTCTTATAGGCCGAACTGCTTCCTATAGGCCGAACTGATTCTTATAGGCCGAAAGATGGCTCTTTTATTTTAGATGATAATGATGATCTTAGCAGTGGTGCCATATTTAATTTGATTCCCTTGCGAGTCTGTTACTACAATATCCAAAAAGATATCTTCTGTCAATTATTGGCTGATCCTGAAAAATAATAAAAAATGTACCCTTTAGTTATATATAAAAGTACTAATTGTTATTCATCCGTTTCTCTGGGCATTAATGAAAGTCTGGTAGAGATTGACTTTTTATGATCAAAATTATTTGTATGCCTTATTTGGTCTTTTCATACTGAAAAACTAAAAACGGGAATGTAGTGCTTCAGTATTGTTTTTGACCTTTCATCTATAGATCAAAAGAATTGTTGAATATTGGAACAAAATGTTGAATATAGAAATGAAATTTTGAAAGTGTCTTTAATTAACTGTATCAAAATATAGCAAATATATATTGTAAAAATAATAAGTGAAAAAAACTTCTTAATTTAAAACGTACGTACTTATTTTCATTTAAAAAATCTATGTACCAACCTCTTTGTAAATATTCACTCAGCCCAATACAATAATAATGAATTTTCACACAATAGACGTCTAAACACTATCGGAACGAGCACGGAACTAGCATTGATTTAATTCAATGTTTAAGTCTGTTGTTTCTTTTGATACGCTGATCTTTAATAGATAATGTATGCTAATGATGTCACCCTGTGAGGCACATGAAGCGATAGCGGAACTGAACACTACGCTTTTGATTAGAAACATCGATTATTGTTTTCAAGTTGACAGGGATAGCAATTATTCATCAAGAATTTTCCATTGATTGTTCCTCTTTTCAAATGATGCGCATGTGTATTTTTGATTACTGTACACCAAAAAATAGAAATTTTTGCCATTTTTCTATAAGAGATATTTATATGTTGGTAAGAAAAATTTAATTATGTATATAGTCAATTTTGCTAGATCAGCATAGAAATTATCCCTCTGTAAAAGTGGTAAAAATTTTGAATGTATTTTTTTCCGTTGTTCGAAAATCAATCTCATATAGACCATTATTATTGGCGTCATTAATGTAATGCCTTTTATACAAAACCCTGTCAACTTTCGCTTATTTATTTCGCTTACTCTGATTTTAGTCATGATGTTATTTAGTTAATTATAAGCCAGAACAATAAAGTACAAAAATCGATGTATTGAATTGCGGTTCTCAGAGATGATCACAATCACAGAGTAAAATCGTAACATTTTAGTTTTAAAGCTTGACAATTTTTCGGTATGTATTTTATGAGATTACATAGAACCATCAGTTTTGGATACTAGCTTTCCATTAAGATAATAACTTGTTGAGTACTAAGTAAGGTCACAATTGTTCCGTACGTTTCTAAAGATACTTCAATTCATTCATAGTAAAACTGGTCCTTGTATACGACAAATTTTTGTAAAACGAGTTTAGTAATGTTTACTGATATAAATAGAGCTGCATATGACGTAATCAATTATGTTTTGCAGATGTCAGTATTGGCCTTCACGTACTCATGTGTTCAAATGTTATAGTAGAGATAAACAGATATAATTTACGGTGTTTATACATTCACAGTAGTAAATTAACATTCATAAACGGTAGGTGGGAAAGCAAAGACGAAAATTATACTCATTGTAATATTATACGTATACTTTAATAACAATAATAAGAACACAAAAAAAAATAGCAATAATTAAAAGATTATACTTTTTAAATATCAAAGGAAAAAAATTGATATCGTAAAAATTCTAGACCACCAGGTTCTACTAATATTTCAATCAGCTAAGTAATTAAATGATCATGCCAGCAATATTCCCTTACAGCCTAATTATTTTTCGACAATATTTTGATGTTTGCCTCTCATTTCTTGCATTTTGTTACGAATAGTGTTCAAAATCAGCTGCGAATCAAATTCAACCCATTTTTGCCCAGTCGCATGTTTTTTAACATAGTTCAATAAAACAGTTCTTGCATGTTCATCTAGACCGGGCCTTACACTTGTTCCCTCCAAGTCAAATGCATTGGCTTTTTTTCCAGTTAGAGAACATATACTTAATGCGTTCTCGGTAAAAATTTCCAGTAACAACGATCGTGCAAGAGTTTTGCTGTCTTTCGACATTATTTTAATATTACTTAGTTGAATGGCGTCTATGTACACCCGTGAATGTGGTAGAAGTTCAACGAGACCACTTTTCTTTTCCCGATGCTTTAGGGTCCATCTTGAGTCATTCGGATCGTATTCTGGTGGAAAAATAAATTTGCGTGCTTGACCACGGATCTTATTCAGTGGATTATTATTTTTAACTTCTGTACCGTCACTGTTGTGTTTCTTCTCTTCGTTTTTTCGAGTATCATTTTGTAATTTTGATTCGGTTACTTTATCTGAATCGTTTTCATTTATATTTACTTCCATCATACTATTTTCTAATTCTTTGACTGTAGAATCTAGATCACTAATATTAGGACCATTACTGACTTCATCCGTTAGGTCAATCAACCCTTTTATGATCTTACAATTTTCCATAAACGCAAGCCGCATTTTCTCTAATACTAATTGGTTTTTTTCATAATTACTATGAAGTTGTTCCAATTTTTCTTTGAAGTTATCACCAAAGACTGACCGTAGAGCCGTTACAATTTGCCATTTTCTTATTAACTCTGAAGAATTTTTGACTGATAGTTCATTTTCTTGGTTGTTGTTAGCCGTATTGCTCTCTTCAACACAATGGCTAGTTTTCTGAAGATTCTCTTTTGTAGTTTGATCTGGCAAACTAACGGTATTATTGCCTGATAAAGATATTCTGAGTGACTGTCTTGTCAAATATCTTCTGGCTTTGGGGGAGGAATCGGCAGTTCCAACTTTACTTTCCGTTCGGCCTATTCTTACCTCGACATTAGTCAAGTCTAGTTGCTTTGGTATTTCTTCACTCACTGGCTCCGCATCACTGTTTAGAGTTAAAGTTGTACGGACTTTGTTTGATTCTGAGCTCGATTGTGATTCGAGTACTTTCTTGTCCGATGTTGATGGTACATCTGGAATGTAATTTTTAACTATTAGCGACCTAATCAAAAAGAAATACTTTTAAATGTCAACAGAACAATAGATACCTTTGACTATTTCCATGCTCCTCTGCTCTTGATCAAATATTTTATTCAGTATCTTGATAAAGTTTCTTGCGTCTTTATATGAGTCTATAAAAAATAGTTTTAAGTATTCAGACCATATCGAATTACCCTCTGAGGCTTGTATTATTGACAGGGAAGTATCACCAGTTCAGATTTAGAATAGAGACTTAAAGTCAATCGCAGCAAATAGTTTTTAGCAAACATAGTGGAAGTTGAACTGTTTGCCAAATCGTATCAGATACTATCTGCTCGCTACCCAAAAAAGAGGCCCTACAGTAAACAAATAAAACGATAATGTTTACAACTTACTCGTACTGTATTTTATATTAGCCAAAAATACTGTCCAGTTTTCTAAGAATTCTTGTTTTTCAACACGTTTCTTTATTTCTGATAGTTCTTCAACGGGAAATTTGACAAGAGCTGGACCATCTGATGTTTCACGTAACCTTATCCAAGAATTCGGAATGCAAACATATTTTTCTGGATCTATGTATGGAGGTTCCAATAATTCAATCACATGAAACTTAAACTCTTTCTGTTTGCTCATCTGAAAATAAATCGTTAAATTAATCAATAAAAATGCAAAGCATCTAAGATGGCGCCCATACACCCACAGACTCGCTTGTCGGACGGAAAAATTTGGTATTCAATGACGTAGACTAAGTATGTTTAGAAACTGTTTACATTAATTTTTAAATTTGGAACAAAATCTTTTTCGATTATTGAAAATCACAACGATTATTTATGGCTTTTATTTTACTTCATATCTTTTTGTAAAAAATTAATTCTTTTTTTCAAATAGCCTGTTGAATGTGGACTCAGCTTAATTCTCACAATAAAACCGGTTTTCCTCGAATTCAATTATACACAGCACCAATTATTAAAATAGCTTACGTTTAGATGCCAACTTTGTGTCTGCTGTCCAAGCAATTGAGCTGATTCCAATAATATGGCTTGGTAAAGTTTAGGAAATACTGTTTTCACTGTGACCTTAAACTCTCTTAATAAAATCGATAGAGAAAGAAATATTTTTGTAACGTTTACGTTGCGAGACGTCTGTTATCGCGCACGACAAGGACGCTTACTGAGGAGAATTGGAACTGTAGGAGTTTTATTAATATTAATAGATGCGCGAGTGCGAAAAAGATAGTTATAAATTACACAGCTTGTGTCGGTGTTATTAGTCACAGGCAGGTCGATAATTGCGTCATCCTTAAATGTTATTGTTTAAATTTTCCGTCAGGAGAAATCTTTTGAATGTTACGAATGAATATACTGATAGCAAAAAAGATCTATGCTATTAATCGACATTTAACTCGTACATTTCTACCAGGCTCAGTAGTTTTATTTATTTTTGACGTGATAACGTCTTATGAATTGATGAACACTAGCAGCACGCACAAATAAGTGTCCCGTTCCATCTGAGCCAAAAGCGTTGGCTCGTGACACATATATTTCTCCTCTCGCGTGACGTCAGAGCTAGCAGTTAGAATATTGTTCTATAACTAATCGTTCGTGATTTTTCTTTATGACGTTATCATGTAAAACTATCGTCCTTAAATTGACTTTATAGACAACAAACTTTTTTTTTTTAAGAAGATATTTTTATTAGTTACCATGAGGAGGGGATATATATAAATATATAAATATACTCTAGTAACAACAATTGAGGAATATCAAAAAAATTCCAAATTTTGTTTTTTAGTTATATTTGTTTTATGTTAATGGATAACCTTTAAAGGTTATTTATACATACATAGTGTCTTTTAGTTAACAATCGAATTTGATTGGTGTCGCATGTCTACATATTGTCATTATTGTGTTCGCAAGTGTACGTTAATAATAGTGTATTTAAGTTGACTATCATCAAATAAGGATAAAATGTACATTGTGTGCATACTACCAGAAGAATGGCTAGCTTATTCGTACGACCAGTTGGAAGATATTATTTACGAGATAATCGATGAATTTGGAGATGTTATAATACGCTGGGTGGAATAATATTTTCAATAAGTGGTGTAAAAACCATGATAGCTAATTATAAAAGTCAATTTTGGTTTCGTCGAATCAATGATGTCCAGAGCGAGCCTAACAGACATTACTTCATGCTGTATTTGAATTGGAAAATAATATAGACTCATGAGTGTAATTATACTTTGCAGTGAGAAGTTATATTTTTTGCGAAAAAGAAGAGTTATTTTTACTGATGATTTTATACTAATACTGAGAGCTCAGGACACTGTTATCAAGTGTTATTGAAAATCCTACTAAATTGAAATAAACTATGACGAAGCATGGAACTAATTTAATTATGAATACTAACCTTTGAGCAGCTTAATTTTCCTGTTTAAATATTTGCGTTATAGTTGCTGGTCACTTAAAAATAAACAACATAAAATGACGTTATATTATAATGTGTTTTAGCTCTACCGACAGCACACAAAGAGCATTCTCTGACGACGTATCACAAGAAATGACAAGTGATTCATTTGGTTGATTCCAACTACATTGGGATGAATCGGTTCAATTAGTTTTCCTTTTGGATCACATCTTTTTGTAAAGAATGAAAATTATTGAAACGAGTCTAATTTTTTTTGTAAAGTGCAAATGTTATTGAGATGAGTGTTATGAACGTGGACTTGGCGCAATTTTTTACAGTGAAACTGTTTTTGTTCGGATTCCAACTACATTGGGATGAATCGGTTCAATTAGTTTTCCTTTTGGATGATCCAATTTTGATCGAATTTAATAGAAAAATTAAAACAATCAGAAATTATTGCTTAAATATGTTATAATATAAAGTTAAAACTAAATAAATACAGTTTGTTAATAAAAATATCGTTTTCATCTTCAAGAAGATTTCTTGTTTGACTCTTAGCATAATGTTTCTAATTTTGACAATTCATGATGAACAGGTGCTATATTTTTTATGACAGCTCGCAGACGCAGTCATTGTAATAGATCAAGAACGACGTTCGCGTATGTGAAATCGTCTGAAACAAATAAAAATCATAAATTACACATCAATCATTTATTTTATTAGCATGTTGTTGAGTGTAAAAATGTATGTATTGCTTGCAAATTATGTGGTACAATGCTCACCAGTTTCAAATTCGATACTAGCAGGAAAAGATAGCCATTTTTCACGAGGTGGTTCCTTCTTTTGCACTGTATCTGAGAGTTTTGTTTTGTTCATTAATGGAAAGGCTATCATAGCATCTTCCTTTGAACCCGCTAAAATCCATGTAGATGGTACTATTTGATATTCTTCTGTTTCCAAAAAAAGCATTTCACGGAACTTAACAACACAAAACTGTTTTGTCACATTCATGCTCTGCAAATATGAATAACTGATATAATGTCTGAACAAACTATAACTATCGATTGTTAATTAATTATTGGTGCTCATTACCATCTTAATAGATTACAATAGCTTGAGAAAGCAGTTAAAATATAAATTAATTACATGATTAGATACATTTGTTACATTGTACAACAGTAAGAACTGCTTTTTACAATTTTTTCATCACAATATTAATCTGCCTTTCAAAATTTCTGTTTATTATCAACTTTTTACGCACATTGTTATTCAACATATTCTTTCAACTACGTATCTCTTGCGGCTGAGGACCGACTTGTGCTTCTTGTACTGCATTCGCCCTACTCCTCACCTCTTTCTATAGGTTGTTGGAATAGTATAAATTACTTACATTTTTAAATTAACAAAGACTTATGAATGTGAATGAAAAGTATTGACCTTCCTTTTGAATCAGCTGTTTTGAGCACTATATTAGATACTTGATTCTAAAGAATAGCAGGAAAATAACTGATTTGAAAAGCGCGTCGTATCAAGTATATATTGAAACAGCCAATGAAAAAGATAGAGCGATGTTTGTCCGTGCTCTACTGGCGGTTTGCTGATAAATTGCTTACGTATACTCAATAATAGGACATATGTCAAAAGTTATCTACTGTTTAGACTTCGCGGAACATGTTATAAAACAAATTACAATAAGCAAATTTCTAATTATACATCAGTATTATTGGAAACTCAAGTCACTTGATTGGGTACTAACGATAAACTGATATAATGTAAACCTTATATAATGTAAGCTTATATAATATAAACTTAAGAGAAATAATTTGGTATGAATAGAATATTTCGTAGCTAAATCTGTCGCTTATCGGCAAGTTTGGGAAAAGAATGAAAAACGGAAAAAGGGAAGGGGGGGACCATTCAGTGGGAATTTTTAGGTAACCGAAAAAATAATTCGGACAGCCCGGATCTTTTGGTTACGTGCCAAGAGTTCTCCCAGTTGAGCAATCTAAGACATTGTTCGTAACTACTTTTCAGTCACCTAATAAGACCTACCGGGTAACACTACAGCCCATCTTACGGTATAAATCCATATTTCGTAGCTAAATTCGTCGTTTATCGACAAATTTGGGAAAGGGGTGAAGACAGGATAAAGGGAAGGGGGAACCACTCGCTGGTTATGATTGGTAGTAACGATAAGCATATATAATGTAAACTTAAGAGAAATGGTTTGGTATAAATAGAATATTTCGTAGCTAAATATGTCGTTTATCGGCAACTTTGGGAAAGGGATCAAGAAAGGATAAAAGGAGAGAGGTGACCACTCAGTGGGAATTTTTAGGTAACAGAAAAATAATAATAAATCGAACAGAAAAATAATTTGGACACCCCGAATCGGGAATCGAACCCAGATCTTTTGGTTACGCGCCAAGAGCTTTCCCACTTAAGCTATTTAAATTGACTTTAAATATTTATTTACATCAATAAATGTTATAATTTGATTCAAAAATACAAAAAGACTACGAGTATATATTAATTTAACTGTTAGTCGATCTTTATCTGTGAATAGCAGCAATGAAACTCAGCAGAATATGAATATCGTGATTTTTATTACAAAGAAAACTGATAAATCTACGTTTATCTGAAAAAGTTCTTTTATTTTCAAAATCCCAAATGCATAATTAATGACCCAAATCTCAAGTATATAAATTAGATTAAATTATTTTTGCCGTTGCCATGTAGACTAGAGCAGTTATCCCGAGGGCTGTTAAAAGGAGGAGCAGAGTGTCGTAGTTCATGGCTTGTCTGTAACAAACAGCATTAAAAAGTTACTAGGTGATTGAAAAGTAGTTATTGACAACGTCTCGGATAGTTTAACACTTCGTCGGTCACATGCATTTTCTAGCTGAGTTGTCGCGCGGTGGGCGTCGTATCGCCGTGTAGCGCGGCGCCGCTTTTTTTTCCTTGTTAAAAATTAAATTTCTTAAATTTTTTTTTTTATAATATTTTGAGACATATTTTTCACACGAAAATTTTCAAAATGGTTTAAGGAAGGATTTAAATTTTTTACAAAACTTTTATTTAAAATATTGTTAAAAAAAAAAAATTTTAATGAAAAAAAGGCGGCGACGCGCTCATAGCGCGACCAACGAAGGGTTAAATATTAGAGTTCTTGGCGCGTAACCAAAAGATCCACACTAAAATAAAAAAAGTATTTTTTTTCCTAGTTAATTTTTTTTTCTGTAAAAAAAATTGCTATTCTTGTCGGAAAAATACCAAAGTTTAATTTCCACAGCAATTCGTGTTTTGAGTGCAGCAAAACTTAGTTTCACTGTGAACAAAAAACTAAAATAAAAATAAAGTAAATTCAACCTCATTTAATTGATACGAACATATGTTCTCATAATGATTGCCTATTTTATTTTTTAATCGATAAATTATCACGAATTGCAGATATTAATTAATACATATTAACCAACGCTTTTATAATTGTGTAAAAACATTTTTTATCGTTAAACAATTTGTAAACAGACAGCTGCTTATTACATAGTAATTACCAACTTACGGTTAAAATGAGAAAATCGATGGCGTCACCATTACCTTTCCCACGCTGTAATAGCATGGGCTAGTAGTCCCAGGATTAAACTTGGCATTGCTGTGGGGATTATACCAGTTTCCTGACAGTGAGAATAAAACTATTTTTTCAGTGCGGGTTCGATTCCCAGTCCAGACTGTCTGAATTTTTTTTTTCGGGTATTAAAAGATTCCTACAGAGTGGGTCCCCTTTTATCTATTATCCTTTCTTCTTCCTCTGTTCCAAAATTTTTTGTTATATGACATATTAGCAATTAAAATGGCTATCTGAGATGCATTCCTAGTGAAAAAAATTGATTAGAAACAATTTCTACTCGTTTATTGTATTAGTTTGACATTGTTTTGTTTAACAGTTACCTTTTAGACGAGCGTGCCGAGTGGCGTACCGAATGACTTGCCGAGTGGCGCTGCGTTTGGTGATTGTGACTGGTTTCTCTTTTAATGTTCAACGTTTGGACACTGAAAAAATGATAATAGTTCAGTTATGATGTTAAACTGCTGGTACAGAAGTAAGTTAACAACTCACTTTTCCTGAATTAGTACGAAGTAATATGCTGTTTTGTTCTCACTCTGGTGCGTCATGATATTGTAGTTATCCAATGAGATTCCTTTATCAGAATCGGAGATATCATTCTCTGAACTTTTCCTAAAACAATCCCAAAATTGAACTAACAAAAACACACTATTATCTATAAAAAACTAAGAAATGTAAGCTGTATTGAATACTCACGATGAATCTTCGGATGTCATGGAATTTTTTTTTGATAAATTATCCATTGTGGCAATTACGACATCAATAACATATGCTTCAGTTTGGCCTCTGCAACAGAAGTTACCATCAAAACTCGATAAAAATTGAAAAACTATAATTAAGGCATGGCAACGATTCAAAATCACTTACGGACTGGAAATTCTTTGAAAGAAGTACTGAGTTTCTTCTCCTTCTCCGCAACATACCAGAATCGTAGGTATATCCTGCACTTGTAGGACGATTACTCTATCGGAAGTCACATCATCGATCACAAGCTTAGTCAGTTTTGAAAGGAATGACTCCAATCCTTTGACAGGCCACTCACTGGGCACAAAAACTCTGTTGGGTAATTGTACATATTTTGCAGTAGAGAACTCTCTCATTTTTTTTGTTTTAACTGCGTTGACAAATTACACTACGGAGACAAGCGCTCAATTCACTTCGTCACAAAAGACTAACACAAGAACTAAGTATTTTTCGTTTTATTTGACCACAGGTCAGTATCACCGCCATTACAGATAATATCAATGTGTGGACATTGTTCGATTCATTAAGATTGATGTATATAACTGTACTAAGTCATGCAACACAAACAATTCTTGACAAAACATCCTGCTAGTGAATAGCATCGTTATCAGTAGTATCTGGTATATAGTAACATATCATTGGGTGGTCAATTGACTGAAGTGGTTGAAAGCATAAGATAACCTTTGACAACAGATAGGAGTAGCATATATTTTTTAATAAAACATATGTGACATTTATGGATTGCGTGATCTGAAGAACTTAGAATGTCACATTGAAAGGATTATGGTATCCTTTAAGTGTGATCAGTCGTCACTATTACTTGTGAGCGATCAAGATATCAAAGGTGTTAGTGAAACTCGTATTCTCCTTGGAAAAAATAGTAACTAACAGTATGTAGTAGTGTTTACAGTATGGCAAGCGGCCAAATTTCAGGAATAGTTTGTTGAAATTAAGTCGCCAAATTATGCGATGACTAGAATTTATTATTCTTATTACAAACTATTCTTTTAATCATTTGTTTTGGTTGTATGTAAATACGTTATTAGATGTCACTTCGAAACTTTGTGCTTGATTAACTGAATTTATGAGTAGCTTATTCAAATTTTCGACTGCATCATCAATGGATGAATTCTTCAAGAAATTCGCAATCTCCATATTCTTGTGTGAAGATTTGATTCTACGGAAACAGAAACGGAAACACGTAAACAAAAAGGTTGATATGTTACTGAAATTAGAACAAAGGGAAGAAATTAGTCCTATGCATACTTACATTTTTTTACAGGGGGACTTGTGTATGGAAAAGCTGCATGGTCTAAATCCCTCATTATTCATTCTGAAAATGGAAATGTTCAAATTGTTAGCTTGTAAAGAATATTAAAATTATTAACATTCAACTAAGCGTATTGACTGTTTTAGAATTTTTTTTTGCATTTTCAAGATCCTGATCAGGGTTTTTTGATAGTATGGAATGGCAATAACGGTCTTTAGCTGAAGTAAATGATTAATACTCACCTTACGAATCTTGTGGCCAGTACACACTTAATCACTTCCGATACTTAAATTCAGTTATAGCTTTATAAGTGAATGAGAATCTATTGAGAAAATCATACAACGTACTAGCCAACTGATCCGATTCGCAATTGAAATTAGACTGGCTTAAAACACCTATGATTTAGAGACTAAAGCTAATGACCTGTAGGATAAAAAATGATCCAAACGAAAATAGCTTTGTTAGATTTTTTGCGTGATTTCAGCGAACAGTAATAGATCTTGCGGATGGTGGTAGAAGCAAATATTTATTAGTAGTAATGTGGAATTTTTAAAGAAGTTTAGTTTAACCCTCTCACGGTCAATTCGGACTGAGTCGTACTTTTTCTCCCGGAGTGGGGATAGCCAGTCGCGTGAGCGGACTAACTCCCGCCACCAGATTTTCATGCCCGCCAAATGCTCACTCAGGGCCGTATTTATTATTTTTATGGCTTCACCATGTAAGCGATCATTGAGGTTATTGTCTATACGTCCCTGCGCTCCGCTCACTGGATTGCGTGCAGTCCCCTTGCCCCGCGAGTGGGAAAAGAGTGGGAGAAACGCCCAGAACCGTGAAAGGGTTAAACTATGTTAGAGTAGTTTAACATTTATCACGAGAAGCACTCAGAAATTTTCTTATGTAACATTCATATCATGATTCATCAAGGCAAAAATCAGTGCTTTGAATTATTAAAATTAACTGGACTTAAAAGCAATGTATCGATTAAAATCTGAATTCTTTATATGTTGTTAATCGGTAGTGAAAACTTGTCGAAGGGTTTCCTTAACATCTTGATAGAAAAAATATTCATTCATAAAATAATCATGCGTAGAAGTGAGCTAGCGATAGTCTATGAGAAAGGTAGCATTAGTAGGTTGAAAGGAAAGCAATATCACAAACTATACGTCGTATCCGGTCGACCATATAAAAGAACCCTAGTTTCAAGAGCTTTTAGTGTATCAATATTCGAATTAAAAAACTGTATTTTTATCTTTTAATAGGAATAATTCATTTTCAGTTACTCGCAAAAAATCTGTGCATGTAAGCACGTAGCGTCAGGATAAGAATGACCCTATTTTTCGAATTTTTTTTGTATCGTAAAAAATTTTTAATCGAACATAATAAATATTATTTTCAAAATTTGTATAAAACGTTGTCAAAATCTAAAATTTCGACTTCGAAAACTTGACTGGTCGAACTGACCCGGTCTGTATATAAAACTGATGCGATTTCTATACAAATGTCTAAAATGCTACCAGTAACGCTTTTGAAATCGAAAACTAAGGGACATTAACTATTGTGGTCCATGAATAATTCCTTTTCTACAGTAATTGTTGTAATGGTTTCAGATTGGGGTATTCAATATATTGTTATAAATAAAACATTGTTCATTTTTTTAATTCATTATTTAAAAAGCTACTAGAAATGTTATTCAATAAAGAATTGTATCACTAACGTAATGTTTCATTTGTTCTCAACTGCTGTCGATATAATCTGTGTGTTTTGCGACGGAAACAGTCACGTATAAAGATAATTACTTACAATCGGTTAGTGAATCCTGATATTCTTTTCATTGTCAAAAAAAAAAATTGAAATATTATTTTTATTTATCTTTTATTAGTTAAGCAATAGGGGAATTATATATATAAAATTTAAAACTTCATTTCTGTTTGATGATTCATAGAATTGTAACGTATTTCTTCCCTTTTTAAGATGAAAGATTTTATTGGCAAACGATTGGTTTTTGTAACAACTTAAATGATTCGTACTCATGCATAATTTTTTAAATTACTAAGTGTCATAGCTTTTCAAATAATGAACAAAAATCCTGAACAAAAGAAACTAACATATACAGCAAAAATTTACTTGTTAAAGTTTCCTTATTCCTGACTGAAGAGAAGTTTTTGTCGTTGTAAAGACTATGTCGCATATGTTCAACAAAATTTCAAACAAATTAGTTCAAATTTATAATTTTTTATGGCTATTGTCTCAGTTGTATTTTCTCAAGTAATACTCGGATTTTTAGTAAAAAAAACCCATAAGTATAAAAAGTTTGGAAAATCCAAAAGTGCACGCCTCATAACGCTCATTCATTTTTTAAGAAAAAATAAATTGTGTAATTGATTAAAAAAAAAAAAATTATAATTAAGTAATTTCTTACAGAGTATTTTTTTTTTTTTAATATCAGCGCCCTTTTTTCTTGTTATATGCGCACGCAGTCTAAAAAAATCTAGCTTGATCAAGTGGCGCCATAGTTTTCACGTGACAAATTAGAAAAATTCGTTTGTCTTTGTACGGTTGTGGGGTAGGGGGGGGGCAAAATGGGCCCTCAACAACCCCCACGGAAATAGTATATATTCTAGTATATATTCTGGAATATATTCTGAAATATATTCCAGAATATATCCGAGAATATATTCCGAATATACCCCGTTTTGCCCGAGGAATATATTCCGGAATATATGGGCATGCACTCACTTGTATTCCGTTTTACTCAAAATTTTTCTCTGGTCTATAGTCTGGTCTGTCGTCAGATCTATAGTCTGATCCATCGTATATATACTGAATATATTCAGGTATATATAATTTTGAAATATATTCCTTGGGCAAAACGGGGTATATTCGGAATATATTCTCGGATATATTCTGGAATATATTTCAGAATATATTCCAGAATATATACTTTTTCCGTGGGGGATGGGGTGACATCCGGACGTCTACGTAAAATTTTTTTCAAAATGTTTTTTTTTTTTTAAAATAGCTACATGAAATGATTTTAGAAAGTAAAAGATGGTTTAATTTGAGTGTTTTCTAGGTGTACATCTACTTATATTATTGTATAAGTGTAATATGGTTGTGGTAGAGACAATTAAAAATCACAAAATTGCTTAACCTTGACGAGTCGAGTATAAAGCACAATCTCACGCGCTTCGCGCTATGAGGCGTGCAAAAATATATCATAACTTACGTTGCATTTCAAATCACAGTTTTTTTTAGTCACCAACAAGATAATGCATGTTATATTGTTGGCTTTGATATTTTATAGTTAATATAAAAAAAACTATGCTGTTCGTACCTTTTGTTTAAATAACCGGTGGATTTTGTTTTCATAACTGTGATGTAATTAACAATGTAAAGTAGTGCTTCAGAAAGAATGAATTTTTAATAGTTATTGGTCGCTACAAATGCAGATATTTTTTAACTATAGTTAGATCAATTTTGATGATAAGAACATTTTGTTTTTGATCATATTCTGCGAAAGGTAAAGGGATACTTACGTACAAGATTTGCTCCTTTCGGCTCGGCTATTGTTTTTTTTCATTGAATAGTTAGTACTGACTATTTTTATTGACGAATTAATGAAATATAACCATAAAAGCAACGGAAATAAATAATGAATTATGACATTGGACTGTTCAAGTTCACACTAGAAAGAGTTCTTTGATGTAGGATTTTAGTTTCTAGAATTTTGAAAGGAAGTATGTTTCAGCTCAACTATGCTAGATGGCATTATATTCGTGTCTCTCGCAAGAACTGATATCCTGTTTCAATATAAAAAATTGCGAATCTCTAAACAGTATTTATAGTTGTAGTTGTTTAAATGTTGTAAAACAGCCAACTATCCCAGTCCGAGCTATCTAATAATTTTTTCTCGCATATTCTATAAACTCACATTAAGATGATCCTCTCCACAATCCTTTCTCAATCCTTTCCTACCAATTATCCTGTTACGTGAATGTTGGAACGCTTCACGTAATAATTATCCGTAACTCCTATTCTTTCCCGCTTCACAGCATTATTTATATTTGTTAAAAAATTTAGTTACTGGTCTCACATGATCATCTAATTCTAGTGCTGTTACGCATTATTTCGGGAAGCTGCCAGCGAATCGACAGACATGATAATAAATTTGAGTGTTTATGGACAACAATTACGAAAGTGGAATTCTTTAATCCAAAAATAATACGAATAACCACTTACCCTTTATTTTATTTAAATTCAATAACATCAACTATACTCCTGGAAATATAATAGAATTTAGAAAACTTACATGTTATAACTACATACATTTGTCAATATACGATGTGAAACGTCTATCAATTTCTTTGGTTAATTAGCTGTACATCATCTTATTATCGATCTTAATTTTATCACTTATCCTTTTCCACTATATTCTTAATCTAAGTATAAATTTTTCTTTTTATTTTATGACAATATTTAGCTTACATACAAAATATCGTAAAAAATTCTCTAAAACTACCTCTTTATGTTGCGTATACCTATACAATTGAATATTTACATATCACTACCTCTGCCACCATTGGAAGATATTATGATGTCTGGAAGCATATGGATCTTGTTGGCCTTCAGTCCAGGAATTGGTGAACAGGAAACTGTGTTCCGTTAATTTTTCCGTTGTGCTGCGGTTTCTTGCAAAATGGTCATCATCTTAGCGTCATTACACTTGTAAGCGAGATGGTATGGAGTCTGCTGAGCGTAGTTTAGAGCTTCTATGTTTACTTGGGGTTGCCGGCACAGCCATTCAGCCAACTCGTAGTTCTTTGTTTTTACAGTAATATGCAGAGGTGTATCACCATTAATGCTTTCCTTTGCATTGATATCTGCACCCCATTCCATTAAACGCCTACATTTTTTTCTGGGATCAATTTTGTCTTCACGGGCAACAATATGGATACATTGTTGTCCTTGGGAATTGTATTCTGTTACTAAGTATCTGTTTTCATCAATGATGGCGTTTTTGTAATTTAACAAGTCAACTACTCCCCCATTACGGCACAAATAGTGAAGAATATTTTCACCCTCGCGGCTGTGTTCACCAGGAAAGATAAAGTTTTCCGATGGCCACATATCTCAACACAAATTTTACTTAAGTGGAATATTTCGGTGCTTAAAACGACTGTGAATTATAAGTTATGACATCAACTGATCAACGACTCATACAACGGGTTTATAAATACTCCCACATACGTTTGTATTGAAATTAATATCTCTCACTGAAGGTCAGGGTTATCGTTAGGTCCTTTCGCGAATAATCTGTTTTTGTAAGCATAAAAGCGTGTCGATATTGTAATCACACACGTAATATGCTATCTTACTAATTGCCTAGAGTAAGTTATAAATCACACCTACGTCAAACATAATCTACGAATAGTCTAATCTACGAATAGAATATACAAACATTAGATTCATCATCAGACGTTTCACCATTCACAGGGTCGTCACAGGCGGCACCGTTGGTTCTCATTGTTAGAAGATCCATCTTTTTCTCACCATAAGCATAGTACACCAGATGATACGGGGTTGGAAGCATGTAGTTGATGGCTCCACCAATGACACTAGATTCTCGACAAAACCACTCAGCTAATTAATATTTTCTTTTATTGACAGCAATATGAAAAAGATAATTTCCAGTTTTTTGTTCTCGTGCGTAAATATCAGAACTCATTTTAATAAGAGATTAAATTATCTTAACAGCATCTTTTTTATTGAAAAGCGACTCCTCTATGAGATCATAAATACTCCCTATGTGACAATACGGCTGTAAATAGTTAATATTTTCTTCCTTGGTTTTCACGCACAATATTAGATAATGAGAAGTGCAGTATCCCATTGTAATTCAATTACCTATTAGCCAAAAGAGCGTGACAAAATTTTGTTTCCTTATAAGAAAAAGAAACTCATGGTACTTAATAGCCCTAATTTCCCTACATAAACAAACATTGCATAAACAAGTTAGATAAGACACGTTTTACATCGCTTTATTTATCTACAAGCTCATAAAAGCGTTTGTTGTTTCAAGGCCATAAGATAATGCCGAGTAGTTACGTAAGGTGATGTAATCATCGGGTTGCGGTCAACCAGTCAGATCGATAACATTCCGAATTATTAAAACTCTAGAAAATTTAAAATTCCGCTGCATTCAAAGTTTATAAAATACATTAGCTTAAATAGAATACCAGCCGAATAACAATTTTGTAAATTATAAAACACCGAGTTATCGAATATAAGTAAATATAAGTCTTATATTCCTCAAGAGTTAAAATTAATTTGATTTCGAGAAAGGTTCGTTCCGACGTATATTCATCCGAATACTCATCTATACGAATAATGATTTGGCCGAAAATTACTAATTACTCATCTAAGAAATTGTAAATCTTTCTTAGATGGTCCACCTTTACAAGCATGAAATTTGAGTGTTTTATATGCATGCTTGTAAATTAAAATAAATTCATTTTAAAAAATTAATTAATTTAAAATTAATTAAAATAATTAATTTAAAAAAATTTTTAATCTGAATATAAAATTATATACATTTTTCGGCTAAATGAGTGTTCGTCTGTTCATTCATTTTGATGTACAAATTTTCGTTGTTATGTTTTTTAACTTATTGAGACTTTGTGACTTTGAAAGATTCTATTAATATAGCTTTAGTATTTTCTTTATTTAAGACTATATTTTTCGGAATTTTAAAATTTGTAAAATTAATTATTTTAAATTACATTTAATATTTACTTTCTAAGTTCTATTAATTTATTAATTCGGAATGTTGTCAGTCTGACTAGTTGACTGCAACCCTAATCATCGGCAACTACAGTGCTGTTTATAATTTTGTTTGCGCGCGATAACGTGAAAGGTGTTGAGTGTTGAGTTAGGTCGGATTGGCCCTTATTTTGTCGAATCAATGAATTCTATTCTCGTTCAACAAATGAAACAGTAAATAATGACTTATGACAACGAGTTTTATAAATATTCATCTTCACGTGCTTTTAAGTTTCTAGAGGACGTCAGTAAAAACAATGAACATTGTAAACTACGCAATATTTTGGTTCAGGCCGTTACACTCTCGACCTTGTGTATGGTCAGGGTTACAAAACGAGGTGTTATTGTTTGCTTTACGGTCGTTGCCATCCTATGAGTAAGGAGTTAGTCCATTTCGTTGATTGCTGTTTTTACTTCAAAAATCAAGGCAATCAGTCTAGATCATATCGGATTTTGATGCTTGCGGATATATGCTTTCTTTAGTATACAATGGCAGTCTATTATTTCAATAAAGCTCGCTCACGTAAATTTTTGTTGACCGTGAAACAATTTATGTAGGTATATTTAAATGTTTATCAATTTCTTTTGACAGTATCGCTAGTTTGCGTGCTAAAGTAATTATCACATACGTCAAACACATTTGTGTACATTATTTTTTATGACATGTTGTTAATTCTTTATAAATAACGGTCCGTTTATATGTAAATATGTAGGTATTTTGCTACTTCGCATGTCAAGCTTATATCTTCGTTAGTTGCTTAATAAAGCATTAATTTGATACGACAATTAAAAACATCCTATTCCGACTGATAATTCCAAGTAGCTTGATTTTTTTTCCTCATAATGATAGTTACAACGCGCGTTAATTACTCATTAAAATTTCGTGTCAGCATTATGTTAATTGCAGGTTAATTTAGAAATGAGATGTTTTCGACACCCAATTTGCACAGGTAAATAAACATATCAATCACTGAAATTACAATCGCAAACAGTGACAGGTACGCGTGAAAATTCCTGTCACGCGTAGGCAATGTGATCTAATAATATCTATACATGTGTTTTATCACACGCAGTGTTGCGGGAGGGTATAAAAAGCCGGCGATTTGGCTAAATTGTTCATACATTCGGGTACCGAGACAAAACTTAGTCAAGTGTTCAAAATGTTTGACCAGTACGCAATTATCATGCATGAAAGATTAGACCTTATCTATATGGTGCTAAATGAATGGCCTGCTCGTGCGGAAGTGCTTTTAATGAATCTAGTGGAAAAGATTATTGAACAGTTTGAATTTTCAAGTCCTATTGTGCGGATTAATGATGTTCCTACGCGATTGATTCGTTACAGCCCCCCAGGAGGGGTGTATTATGTTTTTGAAAGAGTCGCAAAAAAGTAAGTATTTAAGCTTGAAACTGACAAATCAGAGTGTTGAAAAATTGTTTGTTTGTTTTCGATTCCAGAGAAATTATTGGTGCATATGCTTACGACATTGTAGTACCAGAAGATGGCGGAGCTATTAGACTTGAAATTACCAGCGGAAGTACTTTGAGTCCTGCTATATGGTCTCCTCCTCCTCTTCAACGCACTGTAGGACATGTCGATCAAATATATCGTTATTTCTGTTCCCTAAAGTTGCGGTGAGTCTCTAGCTTTCATTATTTGGTTCTGATAATATTTGGTTGTTTTCAATGGGTTTAAAAGTAATTTATTTTGTACAGGAGGAGAGTCTTATCGGTTCTAAATAGCAACAAAAACAGCGCTAATCAGCATCGTTCGTGGCTTAAGCGGTACGTTGATAATTATCACATGGTTAGAGTAATTCTCTAAATGTGTTAGTAATTATTATAATATTTTACAGAGTATCTCGAGAACGCAAACATAGTTGCTGGGACAGAATCCGTTTTAAACGTGCGTCGAGGTAGCTGTGCAGCTTTAAACAATGTAAGTTGATAACGTGACTGCGATAATAATCTCATACAACTGCTTAAGGTGTTCAACCTCATGGATTGCTTGTATATTTTAAAATAGTATTCTATTTTTTGTTACAGGAACTGGTTACGCTATGATGTCATACTACTAGGTTGGTCGTCGTCGTGACCTTCACTTCAAATTCAGTATCATTAATTTTAATCGTTTATCATATAAGGACTATGATGTACGTTGAATTTAGAGCAATTGATAGCAGCTGTCAATTATGCGTTGGGGACGTGTATAAACGACGCGGTACCTAAGTGGCCAATTATGGCATGGGTGAGTTTTCAATAACTCTGCTATGTCACAGAAGAACAAATGAAAGTTAATTACCGTCCTGAATGAACGGTGATACTAAGTCGATGACCTTTTGGGTGACAATACAGCTCATTAGCAAATTTTAAAAAATAAACCCCTGACATATTTCACTTTTGGCACCGCGTAGCACGGAATATTGTGTGTTTTATGATGCGCAGTGTATGTTATTTATCTCAATTCATCATGTATTTTAAATGTCAATAAGAAAATAAATAAATATTGAATACTACTCGTTGTTACTTCTTACTTCATGATGTAAATTAAAAGACCATAGAACATCGACGCAAGCAATTATCATTTAAAAAAAAGTCGATAAAACTACGATGTTTTAAATGTGTATGATTAATAAGTACAAAAGTTCTAATCCGAGCTGAGTTTTTAGAGATATTCCTGTTCTTAATCGGTACTTAAAAACATGCTCCTTATAATGAATATCATTGAATTTTTAAATGAAATAGCAGTCCATAATAAACATTAATTATTTATTAAAACATTCCTTATAAAAAGGCGGTTTATTTTTAAATAGTTATGAATGAATCTTCGCATTTTGTTGTAATCTATTGCATTAATTCATTTAAATTCCGTTTGGCTATGTTGACGTAACAAGTTGATTGTACACTGTACACTTTGTTAATTTGCCCCAACTTCCTGGCTCTACTCATCACAAGTAGAACAAGGTTCGTCATCAGAAAGTAATTGTTCTGAGTCACACTCTGAACAGGTGGAGTCGTCATCCTGAATTGAAGAAGATGGGATAAACGGTATTTCCAACAGCACATAAATGTTGAAGTCAGGTTCTTCATTTAAGTCATTTAATTTCTTGAACCATAGATAACCGTTAAACTCTAATGACTTTGCTGTCACGCCATTGTAGACACCAAAAGCACTTGTTGCTCGCTGAGTTTCTTGAATTGTGATAAGATAAAGTAGCTCTGTTCTCAAGGTTGCCTCCGGCAATACTTGCCATTCTTGAGGAACAATGACTTCAAGAACCATTCAGACAGTTTGTCCTAAAACAACGTCATATATTAACGCAAAAAGTAAAGATGTTGATGTTTTAAAACATGAAAACGAAGTATAAAACTTTGAATCATTCATACTCACTTCAGTTTTCAGGCAATACTAATGTGCGACTCTAACGGCCTGGATGAAAATAGAACGATCGATGTATGTTTTGTAGCCGCGGCCGTGAACGGTGGCGGCATGCCGTCTAATACCAAAACAACGAGAAAGTGAGACGTAGTTTTGATGTTTGATATTCACAAAAATGTTGATTTTGTAATCCTTGTTTGTAAGATAAGAATAATGTTTTTTTGGATATGTTAACTTATAGGTGCCAATCAGCATATCTACATATAATAAAAAAAAACAGTTGATATCATCTGTTTACTTTATATCAATGTACGAAACATGTAAGATAAAGATATGAATAGTTCCAAAACTTCTGAAGCATAGGATTGTTTGATGTCATCTCGAACGTTGTAGCGCCAGGTCGAGTTAGCGCTTCCTGTGAACTTTTCTTTACTTAATGAGCGTTTTGGATGTGTAATCAAAATAATGAGTTTTCATTGAATGAATGTATTTTGTTGACCACAGAGAGTGCGCAACTTTGGAAAGCTTTTGTTACGAGCGCAAGAGTAGTATTATTATGAATCTCATTCAAAGAATTTCAGCCTTACTTGAATGTTGGCAGAACCGTAATAGGAAAAATGTCTACATGTCTAAGATTTGTAAGCTTTTATATTGTTATGATACATTTTTACCGTGTGTTTTACTATAAAAAGATGGTTTCAATGTCATTGAACAATAAAAAAACTTAACCTTTTAGATCCAACATTATTTATGTCATTGCTTAGAAACAACGGCGTATAAACAAACCTCATAAGACGTTGCATTGCGTCTTCACTCATTACGCTATTGTATTTGTTTAGCGCCTTGAATTTATGTGTTCGCACATGTTGAAAAACATGAGTAAGTTATATTTTCTTTCAGGCGTCGATGAATAGCCTATATAAATAGCCTTTTATTCATCCTAGAATTGGAGGCTGAAATGGTATCACAATTCTTTTGGTACAGCAACCGATTAGTAAATAGAAAAAAAAATCACATTTTTTTTTAAGTTTCTACATTGCAACGTTTGCTAGTCAGTGAAGGAGAGGTTGTATAGGAATTTTCATACATTTGCTTATACTCGACAAGGTACAGTTCTGATCTTGAAAGTTGCCGGAGATGGAAAAATTTTGATTCCCGTACAACACAATTCAGAATATTTGTTTGTTGTTCCATTTAGATTTCTTTAGGTTGATACGATGTTATTTAGAGCGCTTAAATACAATTTAGAGTTGGTCGTACAGCTTATAAGTAAACCGCCTGCATGCGCATCATAATAAAGTAGGTAAATTGCATTGAAAATTACACAATCTCATAAATTGTTATTATCTTTACAACTTTAAAAACATGAGTCAATCGATTTATTTCTATCGCTAACTTTATTTACTCAATTAATATCACCTGGTGAATTAAAAGACTGCATTGTTAGTGATTAATAAACATGTTAAGGTCGGATTGTTTGTTTATTTATGTCAAAATAATATAGCTTTTCTAATTGTTTACTAAAGATTATTCTATGAGAAGCCATCCAAAGTTGCACTCGCTAATATTTCGCACTCTTTAAAGTTGACAGAATTAATTCGCTAATATTGCGGAAATATTCACCTACACTAAGTTTGAAGACGAATAACAGATAAGAGTTTTAACGCACATTTAATTCCATGTCTGTGGAAGATTGTTTTTGCTATTGCGTGCCCAAAACGCGCATTTGATATAGAAGAGAAGGTTCCATATGAAGAGCGAAACTTGAGCGGATTTCGACTAAATTTTTTTTTCTCATTTTTTATTTTATTTTAGTACTATGAAGGGGATGTTTATAAATATAATTTAATATTAATACAAACTATTGAATGAGACAGAGTCTAAGTATCAAAATAAATTCATTCATTTTTGTTATTTGTAGTTTAGAATTCAGATTTTTTTATTTTACGTGATAAATAAGTGACAATAAACGCACAAACTCGGCTTGTAATTAAGAAAGATATTACAATTCCTAATCAATTAATTATCAAAGTGCCTTTATAGTTTCATTACATTAATATTTGCACAGCATTGTAATTCATCTAAGTTCTATAATGAAATCTATTCCCGTGAAAAAATATTCTAATCAGGCTTGATATGAGTTAATAAGGCCATATAAGAATTTTTGATAGATTCATATCTGGTCTGATATGACCTGATATGTCCATGTTTAATTTTTTATATGTCCTGATATGGCCTGATATGGAAATTGGCCATATCAGGCCATATCAAGCCTTATCAATTTGATATGTCTATATCAGACATGATATAGCTTGATAAGCTCATATATAATTTTATATTATTTCTTAATAGGTCCTGATATGGCCTGATATAACCGGCTCTGCGACGGAATATCCCAAGACTAAAATATCCGCGACAAAATATCCCACGACTAAATACCCCCCAGGACGGAATACCCTCACGACGTTGTATCCCCAACATTGTATCCCCGATCATGTCACTGACTTATCTACACGACAAATTTAAATACAAATTAATATTTGTTATTACCGTAAGATGGACACGGTGGCGTTTACTCAAGTCGGGTCTCAATATGTGACTGAATAGTAGTTATTGACAGTGGTCTCGGATAGCTTAACTGGTAGAGCCTTTGGCGCGTAACCAAACGATCCGGGTTCGATTCCCGGTCCGGGCTGTCCGAATTATTTTTTCGGTCACTAAAGAGATTCCTACTGAGTAAAAATAAGGTCCTCCCCTTCCCCTTTATCCTTTATTTACCCAATTCCCAAATTTGTCACGGACTTATGACGCTGACATAGCATCGCGGGTTGTAGTGTCCGGGGATGTGGTATCCGGGGGATGTAATGTCCAGGGATGTTGTGTCGGGGGATATTATGTCCGGGGATATTTAGTCGCTGAGCCGATATAACCTTATAAAGTTATATATACTTTGATAAACTTGAAAAAAAAAATCCCTGATCAGAGTTGATATGACTTGATAAGGCTTCATATAGTCGGATATAACCTTATCAGTACATAAGTAGTCTATCTAGTTATATCTTAGTTACATACTCATATAAAAGCATACCAGAGTAAAAAAACTATATAATTCATATATAATATATAATATATGATGTATATAATATATAATATATAATATATATTATAATATATATGAATCATATAGAATTCTATATAATTTTTTTTACTCAGGTGGGTATTTTGTGATTACTATTAAGCATTCTCTTTTTTTATCCAAGAGTCTGTTACTCCAATGATTAACAATCTTTCAATAAATAGTATTTTGCGAATGAAATAATAAGATCTTAAAAAAAATTTAATTTCACAAAAATTATTAGTTTTGTCAAGTTCATAAATTGTTAGTCGAGCCCTCCAGCTATATATAGTTCCATATACTAAACAAAAATAATTCCATCAAAATTTGAATTTTTAATTCTGATTCTACCTCTATTATTTTTTTAATTTTAAAGGAATTATAAATTCTAAAGCAACGAACTATCAATATCGTAGAATCATTTTTGCGATTTCATGTGTATGTAGATAATTTTATAAATCTACATATGGATACCATTATTACTTAAATATTGATAATTAATAATTAATAAATTAGATGAAAAATTTTGTTCACTACAAACCGATCATGTATACGATTTGCATTACTTATAGTTATAACAAACTCTGCACTTCAAGTAAGTCTCTTAGGTAAACAGGTAGTGAATTAGTCTTCCAAGCGTCAGGTCCACGGTTCGATTCCCACACGCGCCGATTTTTTTTTTATGGAACTAATTATTTATAATGATACCTAATTCTATATAATTATATATGGCTATTTTTCATACATAATTATATATAATTTTTTTTTTACCCGGGCGGGTATATAGTCTGATATACTTATATCAAGGCATATATAGTCTGATATGGCCAATTTCCATATCAGGCCTGATATGGACGGTTTATATCAGGCCTGATATAGTCTGATCAGAAAATTTTTTCACGGGTTGATAACGTAATATTTTAAGATTTTAACAAGATTTTTTATTATGTGACTTCTTCTAAGTTCAAGTAAGAACACTGATAAGCAACATCGCCTACATCAAAATATATATGTATATATACCTGTATAGACCAGATATTATTTTTTAATATATGTGAGCGTAGATATATTTATATGTGCTATTAGAGCGTCATTACTAATCAAATTTAGATCATGACATTAATTAGAGTTATCAGTTGCAAAAATCCAGTCATCCATGATGCGGGCGTCTGCACGTTATCTTCAGCTAATCAATCGAATGACTTTTAGATAAATAATTTGAGTAATTTGAAAGATTTATGTAATAGAAGGTAATCATTTGAGTACAATTGATTTTATGCAGATTTTACAACTGATTTTATCAAATTCTAAGCGATGCGCGTCAAACGACTATTGAGATTTAAAGAGATAAAAATCAGTTAACATACATGTGTTTTGCTTTGCAGTAAAATTGTACACGTAGAGTCAGTAGCTGTAAAAGGATGTTTTTTTTTTTTGGAAGCTCTAATAGGTATTTCATCTAGGCCCAATACTTATCTGCTTTGGGAGCTTTTACAACGGGCCGTAGCTCCTTTACAGTGTTACTGGAGTGAACGTAAGTGAAGACTTAATACTCTTGTTTAAGTATTAATTGTTGTGTATACGTTCTTCCTGTCTGTTTGAAGAACATAGCATTTACTATGTCTTATGTTTTAAGGGGTTTTATGAGAATAATGAGAGTTCAATTTTGAAGTGTATCTATTAAAATACAGTAGCCGACTCTACATCGGTTATTATTTGCTTCCCCACAGATTTATCTCTAGCATTTTTGGTGACTGTCATTAATTGCCTGAGTTACTTACTGCTTCGCTATTTTATACTCTTCGACGATTGCAGACTTTCTGCATCTTTATTTTAACTTCCTTCGGTCCTTCTAATATAATTTTCTACCATTAGTTCAACACATAGTGGACGGGTGGAGCGTTTAAAGACTGGAAACGAGTACATCCTTGGTAAGAGGAGACATGATGTTTTTCCCCCCTATTTTCATACTTAAGGGCCCTGTCAGGCGTAAAGCAGTCCTTACCGAAACTAGATTCTTGTAACAGACTAACTGATAACCGCGTGACCCTTTCCGAAGGGAGAGTCTCTTCCCGAAGGGACTGCGTTCTGCCTTACCACTACATCAGTACTTCAGCAAGGCAAGCTCACCTCAATCTTCGTTCACTCATCAGGTAGGCATTCAGGTCATTGTCGACGCCCAGAATGCCTGTGAATTAAATGGAAATTCTCGTATATTGAAATAAGCGTCAGGACAAGTGGATGCGAGAGCCGTAGATAGTAATGCCATCCCACAGGATAGAGCCGATCCCTACATGTACTTGTTCTAGAGTTTTCCGGCTTAAATGGAAGTAACTGGCGCCAGGACTGTAGTAGACGTTCAAATGACTGTTCAAATGTTTAAATTCTAAAAATGAAAAAACGCGGAATTCCTGATCTTAGCAAAGATCTACCCTTCGATATATCTACATCATCATTCATATTTATGTTGAAGATGGTCTTTGGCTCTTCGGTGACCGTATTATCTCTAATAATTGATAGGCATGTTTACCACTGTGCGAGAGATGTCAAGATTTTACGACTTTCGTGAACTTAGCTAGTTATCTACCCTTCAGATTTTATTACCTCGTAAAATTTTATCAAATTAATTATTAAAAAACAAAAGTTTTCTTATGGGTCAGTCTTTTTTGAATGAAAAACTTCAACAATCATTCCAAGAGTATCTGGCTGCTGAGTAACACGTAAGTAAAAATTTCCAATTTAAGATACCAAATCTGAATTGATCACAATTTCTTTGATATTGAATCTGTACTCTATTATTCGGCGGAAATTGAAGTTTTAATGTCTACGGAAAAACTAAAACTACTGTGGATTTATGCTGATCTTTTTCTAATTTTAGTACAAAGATCTTAATGAAAATGGACCCTCCACCAATCCCACCTCGATCGCAGTCAAGTATGGTGACTTCGAATGAATCTAAAACTTACCAGTGAGTACAATGTATTTCATACATGTGATAACAGTGAAACGATTTATAGTTAGATATATTTTTATGGCTCAATATGAATCATTATGATTGAAATTAAAGTTCTAAACGGCTATTAATATTTAACGACTTTACAATATAAGTATGAATATAATGAATTAATTAAATTGTCGAATCCTCTGGGCAATTAAATGAATATGTGTTGATTTACTAGTTATAGTGTACAGGTTATTAGTCCAGACTCAGGTCTATCATCAGTATTTTGTAGTATGTAAATAGCATTGCCGGGTTCAAAAACTTCGCCATTTACTTTTATACATACAATTCCAAACAATAATGAGTTTGTCATACTCTCTAAACATGAATAAGTGAATATTCACTTATTTAAGTGAGAACCGAGCCACTGACTTGAAAAAGTGGCTCGATTGGCACTTAAGTTAAGTGAATATTCACTTATTTGACGAATTTTCACTAATTCAGTTTTAGGGAGCATCGTAAATTCAGTAACTTGACCATGCTCTACATAATTTTTTAAAAGCTTCTTTGCTATATTTTCTCTGATATTTTCTTTTTTAAATAACTGCAGTAACCCTTGACATTTTTAAATGAATTAAAACGGCTTTCATTAGAGTGACGCTTGTAGTAATTTTAATAAGCATATATTTGTATCTGACAAAATTTCATTAAATACAAATAAAATTAAGTAAGGAAGTTCTCAATTATTTTTTGGAGAGCGAATTTATTAATGTAAAATAAAATTGCTTGATTTTGGCAAGAAGATAGTGAAGGGCTACCTATAGCGCTTTCGCGCTATAAGGCGTGCAATTTATAATTATACAATAAATATTTACAGATATGTAGTAGTGTTTCGGAAATAAATCTCTTACGCGTTTTTACAAAATAGATATAATGAATTTTGGTCAGGAGGCTTTAGGAAGAAAAAACTCGCTCGAATTTACACGCTCCTGCATCCAACGGTTTCTTGAAAGCAAATTTCTGTGTGTGTGAGCTTTTCCCCGTCATAACTGGTGTAGAGATTGACGTATATCAAAATTCATTTATTTTCAATTTCCGCAGTCAACATGGGACGGATGGGTGCTCCTTCTCTTCCACTGAAGCAAGAGAGATTGAATTTGTTTGGAACGTCACAGCCCCCTTGTCTTCCTCCACGAAGGGATCCTCCACCAATTCCACCGAAGCCGGCGCATTTGAGCAATACTTACAAGGGGTCACTGCCTCCTAGGCAGTAAGTGCTGTTTGTAAACTATATCGGCACAAAAAATAGTTACGTCAATCATTAATTGATAGCAGTATCTTATAGAAGTTAACTTAGGGTTGGGTTGTTGCTATAACTTTATTAGAAGCTTTTTTGCATCAAACCTTTAGCGCCTGGAAATTTAAAATTATTTTCGTGTACGACTAGGAAAGATCATGAAGGTAAATCATAACTTTTTGCTAGTTTGTGTGAGTAAAACACTAGAGTACTAGCTTGACTGTGAGTACTCTTACTCCGCTGTATTTAAGGAAGTGCCGTATTTAAGGAATCTATCCATTACTGAGTTCTGTAAATCCTTATATTTTAATAATTACGGTTACGGTAAAGTATGATATTTTAAGGCTAAGCGTTAAAGGGTTAAGAACTGTTCGATTGTGTAAGTCCATCAGATATGATATAATAGAACCCCAAAACTATGAATGGCAATCTAGATACTGCATCATTAAAAATTCTGATTAGTTGTATATCTTTTTTCTTCACGATTTCCTCGATTTATTTATCACATAATGTCATGTAAGGTATGTATCTCCCTTCTTTTATAGCTGTAACGTATGATGTAAACGCTCTTGTAATATTTGCATGAGTAAGAAAGGCCAATAAATACTAATTGATACGAGCAGTAACTGATGTTTTCAATTTTTCAATTTTCAATATCTGATGGTAGTTACGCTCGTCTTAACATTATTTCATAGTGCAAAATGTTAAAGGACAATGATCCTCTACCAATTGCTTAATTTTTTGTTCCTCGAATTAAAGAGTATACAATAAAAGTAATAATTGAAAACTGTTGTTTTAATTACCCCGCTTCGATCTGGGTCACATTTAAATTACATGATAACCTCGCTTAATTAATTGAAATATAATTTTTTATTCACAAATTAATCAGTAGATGATAATTCTGTGTTATTATTGTTAATCTATTTGTAAAAATTAGCCGAGTAATTTATTTCAAACTGATAGTGATAAAGCAGTAAAATATATGACACAGATAAACAATTTGTTCAACATGAATAGATAATTTGATGATGACGCGATTTAATTTGTTGTCGAGTCTTATCACAATTGTTCTTGTTAAAGCCAATCCTTTGTATTATCCTTTTGTACTGTATCCTTCTAACCATAATAAACATCAAAACCAAGGATCACAATGAAATGTTGTTAAATTTGAGGTATTTGGATACGATGTTGTAGAGATTTATGATTACTAAGTTTAAGAGCATCTGACAGCAATGCTTGTGGTCTAGATATGCATTTACTTCTACTGAAATATGGCAAATTTTCGATACAAGTTCGATATTTTTAAGCTGATAACTTTGAGCAAATTTCAGTTAAGTAGAAATGTGCTGGCACCACTTATAAGTCAGCGTTTAGTTACAAAAGACGTGTTATAATAGACGAGTCGAATCTGAATGAGTAAATATTAAGTAACATAAATCTCTTTTGAAATCATAACATTCGACATAAAAATTATCACAGGTTAGACTCGATGGCTCCTGTATGGAAGTTTCATACAATTGCTCAGTATGCTACTAGTAACTAACTCGTAGTCGAAATTTTAGAGACATTGTTTCTCATTATTACTCGGGCAACACTAACGATACCCTTGAAATGTTAATAATTATTTTTAGCGGATAACGTTGCTTTCAATTCATTACCGAAGACATACAATTCATTATCGACTTTGTTCGTTATTTTTGTTCATTATTTGAAAAGCTATTAGATTTCTCAGTACGCCTGCCACTTACGTGTGTTAATCATTTACAGAAGATAAATCTGAAGAATGTTTTAAATGGAATCAAGTATCTCACAGTGTAAATATAAATTTTAGAAATGATTAGTATTCATATTTCGACAAATTTTGTCTGATATTATTATCGATAATTAAATGTTGTGTTTTATCACATGGAATATATGATATCAATTATTGTATTCAGTCACGTGCGAAGATAATATAAAATCGAAACAAATCATGGCTTATCATATACTGTTAACAATAGTGCATTTTTTTTAATTTAACTATTTATTAGTTAAGCATAGAGAGAGTATATATAAATATTTTAAATTATATATACCCCCCTTTGTCGGAACTAATAAAAGTAAATACCGATGACAAAATTTTTTGTATCTGCCTCGTAACTCGGTTACAGATTGATGAACAATTATAGACATTTTTATATTGTTTTTACTGAAGCTATATAATTGCAATAAGTTATTTACTTAAAAGTAAAATAGCTTTCGGAATTTTGAACAAAAATCCTGAATAAAGTTACTCGTGATATCTTTACATAGAGGCATTTCTCAAACTGGTCCCAGTGAAGCCGTTTACTTTTATATTTTTATTTCCGACCCTATAGTAGGGACGTGACTCCTTGCTAGAGTTCATGAATTAATACTAACGTAGATATGATCCCCTCCTTAGTAGGTCACGGGCTGAAAGAAAAACGATTAGAATAATAAGAATTTTAATTCGCAGTAATACGAGAATTCATGGAAATGAATACACATCGTTGTTACTGTGTGTTATCGTCTATTATTTGTTATTTCCAATTATGTTATGTTAATGTGTTTATGACGCTTTGTATTTATTAGAATAATTTATAGTTAAAACATATTTCTTGGAACCCAAAATGTTTGTCAAGCTTAAGTCGTTAATGATTGGAATAAATCATTAAAATTAATGCAAATTGTTAACAACAACAATGTTTATTACTCAGGAACAACACATTGTAAAAATATGTAATTTTAAAGATTAATAAGCTCGATTTAAGTGATGGAGGTTCAAAAATATTGTTACCGATGGTGGATCTAGTAAATAGTCAATTCTTATTTAGTTCTGTAATATACTGATCAGATTATTGTTTCGCGCCATTGAAAGTTCATGATACCTATGTATATAGTTTCGCTGAATAAACAGGATTGGTAAAAAAAAATTAGATTTACAAATCAAAAATAGAAGTTATTGAGTTTTTTAACATATAAAAACATGAATTAATAAACAATCATGCAGTTTCTTTGCTTATCCCCTTGTTTAAAAAAAAAGTTGATACTAAAAATTCAAAAATCGAATATAATACGAGAATAATGCATTCTGTAGTAATGAGAATTCTATCGAATTCTGGATTACCATTCCTATGGAGAGGCTAGATTCCGGGCAAGTTAGCTTATCCCTAACGCTCATAAGCGAAAGAACGAGTAGGAAGACTCTGTATTTCATGTGCTTTAGAACTGAAATGAAACAAACTTATTTTTCCAAAACGATTTAATGTAAATACTGCATACAATTTATAGACATCCTTAAATCGCAAGATGTAAATATTCAAAGACTATCTGTGTTGATCTGGTACAACTGTGCATAAATTCCGATCTCATACATCACACAGTTTGGCAGGCAATAATATTACATTGTTAGGGAGAAAATGTGATACCTATCACATGATGCTATATTTAGTTGGTGGTATAACAAGTGCGGTGTAATTAATATTTTAAGAGTAGAACTTAGTACATTGGGTACAATATTTGTATTACATTTCTTTTCCATGTAATTTAATAACTATACTGTGAACTATGCCAAGATACTTAAACGTCTTCAAAAAATATTCTTTTATTTCAATGACAATAGATCCATACTCTTTATGCGTATCCGTATGTATTGTGACACTAGTATAAATACATTCCGTGAATATTTGAACTGTTTTTCATTAATTGTCAATAGATTCCTACACTTTATGTGCTCTTGGTGGTTTGGTGACAGTTTTATGAACACATTCCATGAATACTTGTAGTATTTGCTTAAAAAATAATATTCAGTTTTATTTTCAGAACAGCTTAGAGAACTAGTTTTCTAGCCCGAAATTTGCTGCACAAATTTACAAAAAATCGTTGTATTTCGTTATGGATAGCGAAAAATGTAGCTTGTATGTCCATAACATTTACATAAATAATTTCTTATAAATGAAAATATTAAAATAATACGATATAGGCAGTGAATAACAAAAATACTAATCACCATCATAAAATGGCGCAGAATACATGTAAAGATAATTTGTATGAATACAAACTCCGCGTCTACAGCGATAAGGTGATCTTTACTTACAGTACTAGCTAGATTACTATCTATTTTTTAGCTTTTGTTACTTAGTTAAATTGGTGTATTTGATAACATATTACTGACATCGCTTCCAGTAATTGACACAATTATATTTCCAAACCTACGTGATAACACCCTTAGCGAGTTGATTCTTTCCTAGCGGGGTGTCAATTTCCGTGGACAACGCAATTTAGTGAAGTACTACAACTGACCTCGGTTCTTTAACCTTCCGGCACTCGTTCAATACTCGTTGTCGCCTTTATTACATTTATACGTTATCCTCACAATTCTTGATACAAATGAGGTTGAAAAAATCGAAAAGCATAAATTAGACATCAAGCATAATAAAATTAACAATCATTATCTACGTAAACAATTCCCAGAGGATCAGTTTCTTTTATATTCGAGTCTATTACTTTTAAGTAAATTATATTGCTTGTAATAACTGATTAACAATAAATACAAGTATGTAACTAAAAATGTTCCTTTTTTAATAGATCGAACACTCCGCGCGATTAGAGAAAGTTTAAAAAATAAAGCGACTGATAAAGGGTTCAGCAAATTATTGACTCTTGACTGCTCAATAATGAGATGATAGAACACGTGTTACCGGTCAAAAAAGTTCACATTCACAATCCGACACTTATCACATCACTTAGAATCCACCTGAACCGCCACTAGTAACAGGATCGTCACAAACGGCTCCATTGGATTTGAGAATCTCCATCATTCTTTGGTCACGGAAAAAGTACGCCAGGTGATACGGAGTCAGATGAGCATAATTGATAGCGATCAAATTAGCTTTCAAGTCTCGGCACAGCCACTCAGCTAGTTCATAGTTTTTTGAGCTAACAGCGATGTGCAGCAACGAATCTCCAGTTAAAGACTCTCTTGCGGAGACATCTGCGCCCATATTCAGAAGCAGCTCGATTTTCATTACTGCATTGTTGAGGTCAAATCTCGCCACCATGTGGGTGCATAATCTTCCATGATGGTCGTACTCATGAACCAAATGTCCAACATTGCTAAGAAAGGGTACGGATTCCATGAACTCGAATATATTTCCCGAACGACAAATTGAGAAAAAACGATTTTTCTCTTCTTCAAATGCTGCTGCATCTTGAACTCTATTTTGTATGATATTGTTTTGCGCCATAGCACTTGATTTACAGTAAGTTAGTTGAGGCGTCTTTACGGCGACACACGCAAATTATAACTGGCTCAATAGGCAGCCCTACTACCGATGTAAAGGATTGGTAAAATACCATCGGGTGTCCAGTTCAAAAATAGCAATAGTAATGCATTTTTATAAGTGTTTATTGATAAATATTTATACTAATCTTTCGTTGATCATACTTTATAAATATATTTGTGCTTGAAGATAGACGTATTGAAAATTTTTATATAGCTTCGTCTATTCGTTAATTCCAACGAATAACGCTCAAGTAATGTAAAAGGATGGATAAATGCAAATCCGTGTGACCCTATTAGAATAAAATTCAAGTAGGTTCTAGATTACTATTTCTGATCAGAAACTAGATTTCTAGCGTTTCTAAAGGAAATTTTTTGAAAGTATGTGGCGGTCACAAGGATAATGCTTTCTCCAATTATTGAAATAATCTACTGACGTAGCGTCAGATGCTTGATATTTATGGTGAAATTACCATAATCCAACCGGCAGCTTAAGGAAATTTAACAAAGTAAGCTTTAATAACAACGTCAAATGATAGCAGTCATTAGGACATTGTAAGATCATCCTAGTTTGTCTTACAGTATTTTATTTTTTGCGAAATATTTTTTTATTCATAAATATAGCGTAAAAATATAGTTAATTAACAATCAAAACTAAAGTGTTTATGTAAGAGTTACCGCAATTATAACGCACGAAATATTAGTTGCAAGGTTGTTATCGAAATAGCGAAGTCTTAACTTTAGGTCAGTGCCTTCATTAATAAAACAGTATTAGTTAATGGTTTATTTGCGAGTATCGTAAATAAACTGTTGGGGTAGGTAATGTCTGCGTTTTATCAGGTTAGTTTTTTTACGTAATCATTGGTGAGATCATTGGTAAGATAAAAAACAACTTCGATACTGATCAGACTCATTAATAATCTGGTTATTGGCCCGTTTACACTCAAATGCTCTTATTGCCCATTCGCTACGAGAATTAGTGTTCAAATTAGCTGCCAAAATACACAGTTGGCAACATCCTATTTTGTTTTTCAGCTATTCCATTTTAGAGGATACAATCGCATGCCAAGTCTAACCACCAGTTGCACAAATGATAGTGTATCAGAAGGAATGAGAGCAGCTGCGCTGTGGGCATAGTTTTAGAGAATTCTTACTTCTTCGATTGATCATAATAAACAAGGAAAAATTGCAGTGATCTGAATGAGAGGGAATGGCTTAGCATAAGCTACGTATCATCTGCCAACTACCTGGAACTATGAGCGAAGAAAAGACAAGCCATATGATCCAAAAGGAGCCATAATTTTCATACATCCTTAATAGGCTCTATTATGGCAGTTATAACCTGTTATTAATTATGAACACGTTCCGTGTCTAGGCTAGGTTCGCTCGAATACGGTTTGCACGCAGTTATAGTGCGATCATTCGAAGTCACTAGTCATCTATTGGTTTAATCGTTGTAAGTCCTACGGAATTAGTTTTGCATCGTGTGCCAGTCGTTAATGTCTTAGGTAAGTAAATCAATCAGTCAACGTTTGGAAGTAGTTCTTTTCTTGATTGTTTTAGAAGATTGAACTTATAAATACATAGTTATAAATTTGTTTTAGTGCTTCGAGGAATCGTATAAAACGAAAGCATCTGCGAAGACAGCACACAAGATTTTCGATTGCCACCGAGGACGAACCAACAAAATGGAAGTCAAATACGTAGCTATTCATCATCGTGAATTAGACACCTATATATTGGTACCGAAGCAATGGCCTAAGCGTGCTAATAGCCTATTTTTGACTTTGGCAGATCAAATAATCGCTCAGTTTAATGAAGTGAGTCCGGTAGTGAGAATGTGCGACATACCAACTCGGTTAATTTGTCGAGTGGATGATAGTGGGTTCTACTATATATTCAACAAAGTGTCAATAGAGTGAGTAATTGCGAGAATACTCGAAATCTGCGAAGGACATAACGAAATGAATTATACGTGTTGACTCTGATATTTTTTTTATTTCAGAGAAATGATTGGCATCTTTGTCTACAATATTGTAGTTCCTGATGGCAACGAAGATATCGAAGTAGAAATCTTTAGCGGACAGTATCTTAATCGTATTTCGTGGCCCGATGATGGTACGTTGCGTGCCATACCCCAGTCCCCATCAGTAAGTTGTTACATGTTACAAAGTTGAGTTAAACAAGCGCGAGGGTAAAATGATCTTTCAATGAATGTATATCTGATAATAATGGTCTTGAATTTATATATCGTTGTTGCTTAAAGTAAAAATATGGTAAAATGGTTAAATTATTTTGCAGGTCACGTGAGCAAAAAGACATATGCGACGTGTGCGGTAGATTTATTGGCGAAAAAAGTCGTTAGTTAGGCTTTGTTCTTGAAACATGTAAGTGAATTGGAAACTATAACTAACTTCTGAACTATATCTCTAATAGTTTTTTTTAGTCCTGTGTAACGGTACATTTCATTTGATTTACCGGAGGCTGTTTCAAAGGTATTAGTCGGATGTTGGTATATGTGGATCACGTTACCGTTAAGTTTGAGACTGTGAGTGAGCGTAGTCTATCTCCAAGGGGCAAGGATGTAGAAGCTAAGCAAAGGTCAAATAAGCGCAAGCGCAGATTCTTAGAGAGTTAGAAAAAGTGGGAGAGCATGAGTAGTCAGTGTGAAATACTACCGCGTAGAGTGTATAGCTTGAGTCACTACTGTAGAGTGTAAAGTTGTACTTCTGAAGTATCTCAGGTTCAGAATTCTTCATTAATTAATCTTATCGTTGTTGCAGGTTCAATTAAATATTGTGGTACCAGTTTCTCCGATTTCCATGGAGCCTACTCTTTGAAGAAATTATAGTGTAATCAGTGCGATATATTGTCTAGTTCCTATGTGAATACATCTGCGTTTTAGGTGTTCCATCGGTTTTATACGAAAAATTGACATGATAATCGGAATAATCGTTTTCCGAAGCCACTATCTGTAATATAAAATAATGAGAATAATAAAGTTTATTTATTTTTTATTTACGAGTATTACTTACCAACCCACGATATTACTCATAAACTGCGGTATTTACAATTAAGGAACGAATTGCTTTCCATTTAGTTAAACATACGATAAGTATGTTCTGCTGTTTATGTGGAGTGTATTAAAGAAAAAACAGACCTTCCATCTGCAACGTATTCTTTGATCATCGAAAAGACTTTTATTAATAGATACCACTGCTCAGGCATTCTTGAAGTCACGTATTAGCCCATGGTTCCGTTGGTGGTCCCAAGTTTAGAATTCGAATCATACTTATTTAATTGTCAGTCAATTGTCATTAAGATTATCTTTGAATATTTTTTCATAGAAATGCCTTTAACTGTAGACTTACATCGCTTAAGCCAACAATAAACATCCGTAAAAATGCAAGGCGGAAGAATGAGTAGTACCACCACAATTTCGATTTTTGAATTTGCTTTGCGACAAAATGCGACGCAACGATTATCATACGTGTTAATCACTGATTAAATAACAAAATATGGATTGTGTTACGGGAAGGCTGATTCCAATCCACTAATGTGCTCAAAATATATGAAGCACTTGAATTGTTTTCCAATATTTTTATGACTCGTAAGAAGTAAAACTTTTTAAAAGCCATAAAGTTGATCTCAACTGTGTACATTTAATCCAACAAGTCGTTTCACTGAACATTCAATTGCTCATAAACTGTATGATTTATGATCAATAAAACGTTTTACTTCTGTGATGCCACGCACGTATGCCATGCGCGTGACTAAATAACAATATTGCTAAGTCTAATTTGGTTAATAGATACATTTGAATCAATTCAAGTAATTGGTTTTTTGTTATCAAGAAAAAACGGTTCACGCAAAATCGTGAAGCGTTCCACATTTTTTAACAAATATAAATAATGCTGTGAAGCGGGAAAGAATAGGAGTTACGGATAATTATTACGTGAAGCGTTCCAACATTCACGTAACAGGATAATTGGTAGGAAAGGATTGAGAAAGGATTGTGGAGAGGAACTTCTTAATGTGAGTTTATAGAATATGTGAGAAAAAATTATTAGATAGCTCGGACTGGGATTCGAACCCAGAACCTTCCGAAGACATGTCGGCTACTCTACCATTTGAGCTATCCGGTCTATACTAAATTTCCTTTCACTTATTCTATATACATTAAGCCACACCGTCCATCTTACGGCTAGCATTTTTAACAATTATAAATAATGCTGTGAAGCGGGAAAGAATAGGAGTTACGGATAATTTATTACGTGAAGCGTTCCAACATTCACGTAACAGGATAATTGCTAGGAAAGGATTGAGAAAGGATTGTGGAGAGGATCATCTTAATGTGAGTGTATAGAATATGCGAGAAAAATTATTAGATAGCTCGGACTGGGATTCGAACCCAGAACCTTCCGAAGACATGTCGGCTACACTTATTCAAATAAGAATGCCTTCATTTAAATAGTTAACAGGTGCATTGGTTGTAGTCAAATGTTATGTTGACTGAGGTAACAAGCAACGTTGAAAGACCAAAATTTGCTTGTTCTAATTATTTCACATACTGACGTCAGAGTTTACATGGCTTAGCAGCACACATGTTTTAATGTTTAAAGAATGATGTATTTTTAAGTTTGAGCACTGTAAATATTGTTCGTTAACTGTCACGATAAAATATATCACGGAAAAATATTATCAGAGTAGTAGCCCATGAATTTTCAAGAGTTTCAAGGTGAAATCAAAAACATCAAAATTAAATTTTATTTATTTTTTAGCATAACATTTACGGGTTTTTTTATTCACTTGCGCATCAATAGAAATCAAATAAGTAAAGCAGTAAATTCCATAGTATAAATTATGACTAAAACTGAACACAATAATAAGACAAAAAATTAATAAAAACATTCAATGTAGAGAAAAGTATACTGTTCATTGGGCACAAAGTTGGTGTCTCCAACTTTTCACAGCCACAAGAACGGATCAAGAGCTTTAGGAGTTGCTGTAACACCCCCTATCGTAATTACGGCCGTGTCAAGTCTCTGACTCTTTCTCCATTCCCAGTTAAGCTCATTGTACAATATAATCTCTAGTACAGCATGAGAGCAGACTTCCCATTGCCGGGGCACAATACATCCGTACTTCAGACCCATGTTCAAATGGATGAAAATTGATAGTTCTCGCAACCCGAGAAAAAATATTTATATATAATTATATATATTTATATATTGTAACAGGGTGGTTAACCCTGTTCAATTGATCACCCCTTTCCTTATGAAAAGGGCGCCACTGGGATTATTTTCGCGGTGTCCCAGAAACCGGAAGAGCACGAGCAGGAAAGTCGGGTCGTGAGAAGTTGAGATAGGCTGAAAATAAATACTGAGGACAATTTTCTCTCGTCAATCAATTTTATTGAACAATAAATAAATCTTAAAATATTACAAATAACCAACTGTTTCACAGTCCAAATCCAATTATAAATTTCCGAGAAACGCTTTCTCAACAGGCACTTGCCAAAAATTCTTATAAACTAAATATCCTTAAATTCTTTTCACCATAGATCATTACGCATCTATCTTCTTAGTTCCTAAACTGTATTATAGACCATTACGCATCTATCTTTAATTCCAAATTTAATCATAGACCATTACGCATCTAGATTCTTAAATTTTAACTCAAATATAGACCATTACGCGTCTATCTTCTATTCCTTAATTACTTAAAACCCTCGTCATTTGGCGGGATAAATTCGTAAATTCTTAATTCTTAATATCTTCTAAACTCATTTCTTAAATCTTCTTAAATAACCTCTCAACAATTATTCATAAATAAAATCCAATTTTCAGATTTACTAAACTTACTAAATTCACCGAATTACTTTATCGAAATTTTCTAATAAATTATCTTTAAATTCAAACAATTTCTTAATAAATTCATTATGCACCTTTTCTAAATTAACAATTCAATTACATTATCCACCGGCCTAAATTAAACTTTCCAAAACTTACAATACTATCATAATCTACTTAATTTCACTTCAACACT